CGCCCAGGCTCAGCGGCCATGGCTCACGGGCCTAGCTGCTCCGTGGCATGTGGGATCCTCCCGGACCGGGGCACGCACCCGCGTCCCCCGCATCGGCAGGCGGACTCTCAACCACTGCGCCACCAGGGAAGCCCTAGGAGCATTTTTAAAAGGGAGAGACCTCATCTTTTACGTCCATACTGATGCGTTTACAGTTGAAGTGAGATGACGATGGTGATCTGCTTCAGAACGATCCCGTGGGTGAACCTAGATGCTGAAGCGTGGGCTCGCTACACTGCTGTCTCTATTTCTGCATGCTTGGGATTTTCCATAATAAAATATAAATAAATACAAAAATAAATAGACACGCCTCCCCCAGTGGGGGTGAGCGGCAGAGATCGAGGCGTCTCCGAGGCTGCTCTGGTCTCAGTCAGCTCCTGCCTTCCTGGGCCTACCAGGTGGGGGGCTGCCACGAGGATCCGGGGGCTGCAAACGGAAAGGTGGGGTGTCCACGTGGAGGGGGACCGAGTCAGGAGGGTCCATGGAGAGCCACACACGGGTGTGGGTTTGCTGCCGCCCGCGTGCTATTTCACACCTGAACAGGCGGGGAGGGACCAGCTCATAAAAGCTGAGTTCTGCACTTTTAGCTGCAAACCTGCCCAGGCTACAGTGAAAAGGGTAAATGGATCTTTTATCCTAACGGAATGACTGGAGTTCATTTCTTCTTTGCAATAATCAGTCAATAGATGTCTATTCCTCGTCCACTTAAGCTCACCCCATCCTTCTTTAGGCAAAAGTAGTAGAGTCCCAATCGCCACCTCCACACACTCTTGCTAACACCACGCAACCGCAGAAGAGAAAGTGTAAATCCAGGACCGCGCTCCGCGTTGGCCCTCAGAGGGTCTCGGGCCCCCGCACGCACCAAGCCAGGGCCTTGTGAGGTCAGGATAAAGAGCAGCTCACACGGACACCTCCGGACCAGGTCGTGACACCCGCCACTGATGTGCCTGACCGTGGGAGACACACGGAGCACCTGCGTGGCCGGGAGGAACCTGCAGGCAGCCGTCCTGTCCAGGGGACGCGACGGGCCTCGTTGCTGGGAGATCTTTGGATTTATGTATTCAGTTATATCTTATTACAGAAAATTCCAAACATACAGAAGCAGAGAGGCCAGAGCAACAGGCAGTGCCACCAGCCCCGGACGTGCCCCAGGCGAGGAGGAGGGACCGGAAGGGGCCCCCCGAGGACCCGGGCGGAGGCTCACCGCTCGCTCACGGCCATGACGTCCAGCACGTTGGAGAAGAGGATGTGCGCCTCGGACGGGTGCAGGATCTTTTTCAGACGCTCGTTCTCCATGAAGTGGGACACCAGCAGGCTCAGGCTTTTGTAGTAGGAGGCCTCGGAAGTCACCAGCTCGAACATGGCCTGGGACGTGAGGAGGGCCAGCGCTCAGCACCTAGGACTCGTCTCCCCCCGCTCTCAGACACATGCAGAGGTTTTATTTTAGTTTAGGTTTTTGGCCGCCATGCACGGCTTGCGGGATCTTAGTTCCCCGACCAGGAATCAAACCTGCGGCCCCTGCAGTGAAAGCGCCGAGTCCTAACCACTGGACCGCCAGGGAAAGTCCCCAGACGCAAAGGTTTTAAAAGTGAAGGAAGACTGCTGTCGGGGTCTGCGCTGGCAAGGGCGCTGCCATCCGCGGCCAAGACCGCTCACAAGAGTGAAGCCGGAGATAGCCTCGCGTCCGAGGACGGAACAAGGTCAAACACGAGGCGCCAGCCATCCGCTGGGTTCCCGACAGCTGCTAAGGGTGACTCAGGACTGTTTCCTGGTGCGGAATGGGTGAGAGAGTCGGCAGACTCCCCTTCTACACACCCAGAAAAATGTCTGGAAGGAAACAGGCCATAATGTCAACCACAGGTGTCAGTAGGGGGTGGAGTTTGGGGGTGACTTTTACTCCTTACTTTTTACCCTTTCGATTGTCTAAAATTGAAGAATGAGCATATGTTGTTTCTTTCATGGTCTTATTTTATAATGTAATTGATAAAGCAATTTTCATTTTGAAAAGAGAAGAGAGAAAGAAGACAGAGAAAGAAATCCATAATCAGATAAGCTTTTTGGAGGCACCTTCATTCTCTATCATGCTTATCACCTGATTATCGAGTCTATGAAACAGCAAACTAACCGGACCTCTCTCTGTTCCCTCTCACGTGTCATCTGTGAAGTGAGGGCAGTAGTTGCTGGTTCACCCTCCTTCCTTACTCTCAAGCAAACCCATGACCCTTCCTGAGACCACGCTGGGACCACCCTCAACTTCCTCTCCCCCATCTCTCTCTGCTGTTCCTCAGCTGAGGGTGGGTTCAGGTCTGGGCCCACGGTGGCTGCCCAGAAGGGACAGTGTAGCGGGATGAATTGTGCGCCCACCCAAAGCTGTGTCCACATGCCAAGCTCCAGCACCTGTGAATGTGAACTCATGTGGCAAAAGGGTCTTTGCGGATGTAAGTGAAGGATGTCAAGGTGAGGAGACCCATCCTGGATTGAGGGTCTAAATCCAGTGACAGGTGTCCTTACAGGAGAGATGCAGAGGGAGATCTGGCAGACACACAGGGAGGAAGGCCATGTGAGGACACGGGAAGAGGCTGCTTCAAGCCAAGGAACGGGAGCCACCGGAAGCGGAAAGAGGCAGAACTGCCAACACGCTGATTTCAGGCTTCTGGCCTCTACAACTGGGGGAGAATAAATTACCACCCAGTTTGTGGTAATTTCTTACTGCAGCCCCAGGAAACAAACACAGACAGACAGAGGAGGGCTGGGAGATGGGACAGCGATGAGAGTAGGGGGCCCTGGTCACTTCCCAGTGTCCCGACCACCCCACTTCTCACTCCCTTTGGGGTCCTCCAACCTCCCACTGGCCAGAACCCTGACCCAGGCAGGGCTCAAGGCTCTGGCCATGAAAGCTAGTGCTGCCGGGGCTAGGAAGGATGGTCGAAGGAAGGGAGACAGGGAAGGGAAGAGGGAGGGAGGACCAGCATGTGTTCCAGACACACAAGGCGCCTTCTCGTTCCATCCTCACTGGTCCCCCAGGAAGGACGTACAGAAGTTCGCATTTCACTAAAAGGAAACAGATGCAGAGGTTAAGCAATGCCCCAAAGTTACTGCTGGAGGGTGTGCAAGATTCAACCCAAGGTTTTTCCAAGTTCTGGGCTCTGCCCACCAGTACCCACCCCTGCTGACTTAGACGCAGGCAGAGCGGGGATTCAATGGCATCTGCAGGTGGCCTGGCCTGCTGGGCAGCCATTCTGCTGCTTCCCTGCAAAGCTCGGACAAACAGCCAACCTGGCAAAGCACTTTAAAATAAGCGACATATCTGTAAGTTGGGGATGCTTAGCAGCATAAAACCGCCCAGCACCACTGAGAAAGTTCACACAGAGCTCACTCCAGGGTGGCCCACAAATGACAGACTGTGGGCCACCATCAGAGGAGAGCCCACCGGTCCCCTAGTGTCTGTGCCTCACTCAAGACACTGAGAGGCGGCACTGAAACGAGCTGGCGACCTCTCTGTAACTGTCCCCAAGTCACAGATGCTTGGTCTGCTTAAAGATACGAAACCACACAAAGCACATCCCACTGGCCTCACTCACGGCAGAGCTGAGGCCTCAGCACGGAAGGCCCCACCCTCTGTCCTGCCAACATCCAGCCAAGCCCTGCCTGGCAAGGCTGAGACCGCGCTGGGCAGGAAGTTCCTGGAAGCATCTCTGTTACAGATGTTGAAAACAAAAATCACTTTCCTGCTGCTAAATTTAAGTTTCTTAAGAAAACGTCAGGCCATTACAGCTTGCAAGTTCTAAGCAAATATAACTAAAAGAAGCAAAACGAAACACCCCAAACTGAGACAGATGAGTGTTGCAGACACCCAGAGAGGAAAACACCACCATGTCCAGGATGCAGCCCCGCAGACAAACATCTCCCTGAACAACGCCTGTGAAGCACAGCTGGGGGATCACACGTGGGAAAGGTGCCCAGACCCCTGAGAGCATCACCATCCTGACCCCCGGGAGGACGAGGGGTCAGGGGCCGCCGGGCAGTGGCAGGCGGGCCTCTCAGCCGCTGACACGCAGCGGGCGCTGGGCCTGAATCACCGCTCCTTGATCCCGGCTGTGCCCATTCGCCACAAACTCACCCCCTCTTTCTCCGTTTATAGGCAACTAGTCACCCGTGGATTTTTGTTTTCCAGGGTGTTTGTCTTTATTTTATATGTCAAACTATTTGCCACATCAGTATGGTCGTCTTTTCCTCATCAATATTATTCTTACTCTCAGTCATTCAAGCCTTTGCACGGTGTGTGGAGCCAACAGGGGTCCAGGCCCTGCTCACTCGTTCATTCATTCGTCCGCAAACGCTGATGAGCACTGGTCCAGGCAGCCGGCACTCCTCTGTGAACACGGCAAACTCCCTGCTTCCGTCCCAGGGCAGTGAAGGCAGAGCAGACAGGAGTAAAATGCATCCCGTTGGGTGTGAGGGATGCTACGAGCAGACGGGAAGAGGTGTGTGTGAGCACGTGAGAGTGTGTATATACGTGTGTGACTGTGTGTGCGTGACTGCATATATGTCAGCGTGTGTGTGAGTTACTTACTGCAGAGAATCTCTCCTTGGTGAAAGCAGCCGCTGCTCTGCGGCCGGGCTGGCTAAGGCCCCGCATTGCCCACGGTCGGGTTGCAGGGCTCACACAGGACCGTTATCCTCGGGAGCTCGGTTAGACTGACCCGAATTTTCTGAATCACAGCTTGGTCTCCCATCAGTGCTTAGTGCTGGATTACTCCGCTTGGTATCCGCCAACAGTCATGTTATGCTTCCTGGGTTTTTTCCAACCCAGCTACTACTAAGCCCAACTCCCACCTGGGTTCTTTGCCAAGGGTAAGAGCCGGGCAGCTCTGCACCTTTCTTCAAGCGGCCAGTCCAGGTGGTTTTGCAGCCAGTGAGGGCCGTGCTGGGCCTGGTGTCCACCACAGGCCGCTGAGGAGCAGAGCTGTCAAGGCTTTGGCCTTGGAGTTAGCCAGAGAATTCCTTCATCCCACTAAGCCTCAGTTCCCACGTGTGCAGAATGAGGACCGCAGTCCCCAGAGGAAAGGCCCAGCTGGGGTCGGCCTGTCTCAAAGCACCTGGCAGGCACATGTCCGGGGCCGTAATCCATCCGACACCCGTGTGTTGTCTTCACAGGACCTCAAGTGCTTCACGGATGGAGCTCCAGCCAGAGGGGTCAAGGAGGGCCTGTACCAGGAGGTGACACTGGGTCTGAGTGCCAAAGTATGACCCGTTCAGAGCAGGGGTGTGGACACGAGGTGGAGGTGGGAGACGGGTGGTGGAGAGGGAGCAGGGGGAGGAGCCTGGCGGCCAGGCCACTAGAGGGGTCACGTGGGGGCAGAGCAGGCTTCTGCGTACAGTCTTAAGTCCACCCTGCTGGCCGCCGTGTGGGCCAGAACCACACAGCCTTGCGTTCCGGCGTCCCGGGGCTGCTCGACGCTCCTGGGCTCCGCACGTGCTCTCGCCGCTTCCCCCGCCCGCCTGTGGATGAGAAGCCATGCCTGTCTCCCCACAGGCTTGGGAAGAAATGGATTATATTTTTCTCAGTAAACTTAGACTTTTCTCCAAAAAAAGGAAACAATGTATCAGAGAAATCACCGGAGTTCCAGCTGAGACCATCACCACAGTCTCAGGAGTTGAGAGGGTGATGGTCAGTGAGCAACTCCCCTTCCCTGGGGGAGTCCAGAAAATTCCGAGCCTGCAGACCCCAGGCCAGCCCCACACCCCACGGAACAGATGATGCCCCACAGACGTACAGAACCAGGACCCCTCTCCCGATGTAGCCCAGGCCTCGGTGCTGTTTGGGTTCAGGGCCCTCACGCAGCCTTGGGACCAGAGTGGCCCTGGGTCAGGCCCACCTGAACCACCCTAGTCAAGCAGTGCATTTGAAGAAACAGAGGAGACCCCTGACCCATCAGCAAGGGGATGAAAGAGGAAGCCAGGACACCAAGCAAAGTCTGCTTCTGATCAAAGAAAGTGAAAAAAACAGCCCCTAACACACAAAGAGCGCTGTCCGTTAAGAACTCAGTTTACTGACCCACAATTTCCTGTGATCTAAGACAGTTCAGCCTGTGGTATCTCATTTTCCGATGCGGGTCCTCATGGTCCGGGCAGGCAGCTCACATCATCGGCCTCCACGCTTCACCCTGATGTCCCCATTGGTATGGGTCCTTCTTTCCTACAGCATCAGCGACGCTCAAGGCTGAACAGTCCCTTGCCTTCTTTACCTGCACCGTCTCCACCTTACAATTCAGATTCTCTGTGGACCCCGTGTGTGGTCATTCTATCCCGATTTGGATTGGTTTCGGCTTCCTGGCCTTGGTGTCAATGTTTCACAGCGGTCT